AGCAATCTTGTTGCCACTCTCAGTTTCATGATGGGTGGCAGCTGCATGTCAAGGGCCGCCTCGTTGAATCTTTTGATCCATTCGGCCGCAACGGAGATGTCTCCCGTTCCATCAAACGGTTTACACCCCAAATCTCGTGCTTCTTTGATAAATTTGGAGATCCTTATGGTTGGACCTCCCACATTTTGGCCTCCATGTGGTTCAACATGGACTCTAGAAGCACCTTGGCTTCCTCCTCTCGAAGCCATGCCCGAAGGTTGCCCCGTTCGGCGCCTTCGGCGTTGTCTCCTCTCTTCGCGCTCCCGGTGGTATTGTTGGAGCAGCGCCTCGATCCTCCCAAGAGTGCCATCGTCTTCACTCTCTTCACTTACATCGTCATCTTCCCCATCATATGGGGTCTCCACCGGCTCGGTTTCCGGCCTATAGGTTGAGTCCTCATAGGACCAATAAGTCTCACTCTCAGTGTCCACGTGGCCATCGCTCACGGTTTGTTGTTGGCCTCCACGGCCCCTTCCCCTGGACACCCTAGTGGACCCCCGACTGCCGCGTTCGGACCCACCCGGTACACGGCCCATCGGGTTCCTCCTCGTGATCCTTCCAATTGGCTCCATTTCTGAAAGAAGTTTAGAATGAGCCGTTAGACTCGTATCAATTGTCAAGTGACGGATAGGTACTTAGGGACATCTTTTGGCTCAAATCACCGCCATGCCAATTGTTAAGGGTACCATCTTAACAATTAGAGACTTTGCAACTCAAGTACCAAAAGTTCTATAAGTACAAAACTTTATGCTCATGGTTTTCAAAAAATTTTTTTTTTTTTCAAAGGAATTTTGAAGCTTCATTATGAAGTTTACGGACTAAGGCTCTGATACCAATTAAATTGTCACGCCCCGGACCTACCGGACACGTCAACAACCCGCCGTACAGTACGAATAGTCAACCGCAGTCCAACTCCTCCATACTATACTAGGCGTCTTGAATACCATTCACACATAGTACATCCATAAACAACATAATGTAAAATAATCATTTAAAGCAGCGGAAATATTCAATACAAAGTGCACGCCACACTTTGGCAACATGGGCATACAAGCCCTAAATACATATTAAAGAAAAATAATATCCATGAGCATGGTTTAAATCGTTTTCAAAACAGAAACAGAAGAAGCACGAACCACGTCTTCTTCTCTTGAATTCTCCGATACAACGGGCGGTAGCGGCAAGCTTTAATCCCGACCTGAAACTGTGAGGTGGCCTCCCCCGTGAAGGGGAGGTCAGTACTTGGAAGCATTTGACAAGTACAATGACAACTATACTAAGTATAATCAAAGTTTCAATTTCCAAGACCCTCAACTTAGGATGTTACTATTTGAAATTTATTTATGTTCTTTCATGCTAGAGCTCGGCTCATAGTCATGTTAATTTGTGCTAGAGCTCGGCTCATAGTCACACCACATTTCGCTAGAGCTCGGCTCATAGTCATTCCTACATTTTTGTGCTAAAGCTCGGCTCATAGTCACACTACATTTTGCTAGAGCTCGGCTCATAGTCATTCCTACATTTTTGCTAGAGCTCGGCTCATAGTCATACTACCACGTGCTAGAGCTCGGCTCGTAGTCACGTCATCTAATCCCTAAACCACTCCTTAGTCTAGGCTCCATTCCTTTTTTGAGTAACCCTTGAGGTCTACTCCTAACATAACTTGACTTCGTAAAGTCCACCCTAATTATCCTTTAAGGTTACTTAGCTTCAATATTTTGGGATTAGCTCCCAAGCACTATTGAACTAACATCCCCGACTAGTCTTCAATACTAGTCGTCTAATCTTAATAAGCCCACGCCAATTTCATAATAATTCATACATTTCAATTTAATTTCACCTTCAAGTATAACTTGATTCAATATCAAATATCACTTTTATTCCCTTCATGAGGTAAAAGCATATTTATCACCATACAATTTTATAGCCTACACCACAATTGGGTCATTATAATCACAACACATAATCATACACAATTTATTCTTAAATTTGTATATTATGCATTTTCTTTATGAACAATACTATATTCCATTTTAGGCATTCTTAATCATAAATAACTCATGCCAAACACATATAATTCATTTAGGCAATCTTATGAAATTAACCCAATAATTATAAACAATATAGTCGGTCATCCTCACCTTAAGTGAGCTTAAGCGCGTTCTACGCTTCCCGGTTGAACTTTGGCGGACTTTGACCAACTCCGGCCAACTTTGACCAACTCCGGCGAAACTCCGGCGAAACTCCGGTGAGGCTCAAAATACTCTATATCAAGTTCCTAACAAGGTTTCAACATCATAAAACCTTAATCAATACAAATAACCCCTAAAAGGTTATTTTCCGGTGAACTTGCCGGTTTGGCTTCTAAATCCGTTCTCGGACTTAGAACCACTCTCCAACCCATTATTCTACACTTAAATTATGTAGAACAACCCTCAAGGTTCTCCATATGATATATATCTCATATGATAGAAGAAAAATAGAGGAGAAGTTATGATAAGGTTATTACCTTAATTTTCACACTTTTTCCTAGTTTTCTCCTTCTTTAATCTTCCTCCTTGGGACTCCTTTGCTTGAGCTCGAATTTGCTATGGGGGATGGTGGTTTGCAGAGGTTTCTTCTCTCCTTGGTGTGTCTTGGCCGAGCTCAATGAGTGGGAGAGGAGGGGGATGGTTTCTTTTGTCTTTCTTTGCAAATGAGTAAGGAAATGGGGGTCCACTAGATGTCAAATGTGTTCCTCCCATCCCTTCACTTGTCCTCCAGCCCTCCTAGCACTCAATCAGCCCCCTTTGGTTGACAATTTCGTGGGGTGGCCCCCACCCATGTGGGAGGTCATCCCAATCCGTCCCGAAGTGTACAATCAGTCCCGAAAGTTGTATTTTTCGGACTGTCTTAACTGTATTTTATTTTATCGGGTCAAATAAAATATATTATGTGATTTCCATCATTATGACTCTTATGGTGAATATTCATACCCCAACTTTAATTTATAAGTCCCCGAAATTCAATTTCGGGCTTTTATCGGTTAAATTACTAGTACCGGTATTTTGGCCCTTTTTGATCAACCGGTCAACTCTATATCATCTCTTTGGACCAATGAGTTATACACCACCATATAAACATTATATTGACCAAGGTGAATAAAATGTACGGACTCGGGAATATCGGGCGGCCTCCGCTCCCGGTGTGGGCCCCACGTGCGAATTTACCATTCACGCAAAATAATTAATGAAAATTCACAACTTCGTATACTCGTTAACCACTCCATAAGTTCAATACATTATTCACTTAAAAGTAAGTACTTTTTTGGGGACGGTGTTACAGTCTTTAAGTGGCAGAAGGTCTCAGGCATGAAATTAGGTACACCAACACTTTCTGTCTGTGAAATTCACAAAGTGTCGGTACGGTGTCTTTAAGTGGCAGAAGGTCCTAGGCTTGAAATAAGGTACACCGACACTTTCTGACTGTGAAATGCACAAAGTGTCGGTAAGGTGTCTTTAAGTGGAAGAAGGTCCTAGGCATGAAATAAGGTACACCGATACTTTTTGTCTGTGCAATACATAATCTATCTGTGTTCGAAATTGCAGTGTCTGTATCCCCGGATGATTTGACTTGGAGTTGTCTGTGAGTTGTTATGTAAGATTACCAAAGTGTGTGTGAGTTTCTTGTGTGAGATCTATACAAAAGTGGTAGGTTATTGAAGCTATTTGGTGTTTTTGTGTCGTTCATATTGTTGTGTATGAAATGAAACTGTTGGATTTGTTTGTGTATTTTCTGAAGTGCTTTTTGTTGGTGTACACAGACAATATTTGCTTTGTAAGTGTTTGTGCACCAATATGGTTTGAGTTGTAGTTGTTTGTGAGTTGTTATGTATGATTAGCTAAGTGTGCTTTTTTGTGTGAGTTTTATACAAAAATGGCAGATTGGTGAAGTCATTTGGTTTGTAAGTGTTAGTTTGTTAATATGGTTGGAGTTGGAGTTGTCTGTGAGCTTCATATGATTTGTCTGTGACGTTCATATTGATGTCTGTGAGCTACAATTAGGTTTTTGTGAGATTTATAGTACTTGTTTGCGGGCTTCATAAAAGTTGTGTGTCTGTTTCTTAAAAAAAATGTCTGTCAGCCTCACATTTAGTTTGTGCTCACAAACAATTTTTTTGTGCTTGTGCATATCTGTCCATAACAGGTGTCTGTGCTCACAGACTACTTCCTATCATATGCATGTCTTCATAAACAAGTTTGTGTTTGTCTAACTTTTTACATATTTATTTACGTTTGTAGGAAGGTGATTCGGCTTCTGAGAAAAATGATGATGAGGTGCGACAGATGAATGACAACGTCCTCATTGATTATAACGACATCTGGTGTCTGTGTGTACAGAAAAATGAAGACATTCTCATTGACTTTACCCACAAATATTGTAATAAATGTATTATTTATATAGATTTGTGTAGGTCACCTACAAAATGTATGAAAGATGTATGTCAATATTGTAGTTCAATAAATAGAACTATTTGATTTTGTAAACAGATGGATACAATCAACTTGGGCAAGTGTTCAACGTTGTACAAAACAATACAACCAATAATGTACATCATTATACAAGATGAAGCATTTCACATTGTTATTTATGAGCTTCATATGAATTGTCTATAAACTTCTTGGAATTGTTTGAGTAATATTCTTGCATGTGAATACATTCACTTCCACATGAATGTGGTGTCTCTTAAATTACACTAACACATATGAATCTTAGAGACAACAATATTACTCACACACAACTATTTGAACTTCATAAACAACTACCATAAAGCTCATAGACAACGATATGAACGTCACAGGCATATCATATGAAGCTCACAGACAACTCCAACCCAACTCCAACCATGTTGGCAAAGTAACACTTACAAACCAAATAGAATCATAAATCTCTCACTTTTGTATATAACTCACACAACAAAAGCCGTTACATTTCGGTAATCTTACATAACAAGTTAACAACTCAAACCATATTACTAAACTCAAACCATATTGTCACACAAACACTTACAAAGAAAGTACTGTCTGTGTACACCTACAAAAACACTATTACTCTGTTCACACCGACACTAGTTGTCAGTACAATCACCCAGGAGCCTTTCATTCGCCTGTGCACACCGACATATGTACACTTTTTGTAGAAATCATAAACTGCATCTTTTGTAGGAGACTTCATGCCTATCTTTCGAATTTGTTCACATTCATCACCATTGTTATCTCCATCTGTTCACATAATCAAATAATCATTTTACATTAACTCATTCATAGATACAACATTCATCTTTGTAGGTATACGTTATAGTAGTGGGGTATATATTAACAACATTCATAGATATAAAAAAATCTTGATAGGTATACATTAACAATATTCATAAATCAAATACGTCTTTGTAGGTATACATTAACAACATTCATAGATACATAACTGTTAGACCCTAGATTTTGATGAACTGTTTTTGATGATGCCAAAAGCTTTTGTTATCCCCCCTCTATTGTAGCATTATTATAAGAGTCTTTGTTATCCTCTGTTGTAGCACCTTGCAGTTGTCTAGTACTAAGAAAATTATCTAGATGTTTCGTGCTCCTTTTATACAGTTAACAAATAAATATGACTGGAAAACCATAAAATGCAATAAGGCAATATTGTATTGCCTTAAAAGGATATCATATAAATCCAACCAGTTAAATTTATTTGTTACACACAATAACATCTCGCACAAATAAACCATCTATTTTAACTGGAAAACAAAATGCAATAAGGTAATTTTACCTTAATAGGAGTTGATATCCTACCAGTTAGATATTTAGCTTATCATGTTCGAAATACTAGATAAACCATACACTCAAAGGAAGAGTTCGTGATATTCTATTCACTACAACAAATAACAATGTAAAATCTATATAACAAAAAGAACACACTGGGATTCAAAATGAAATAAGGTAAAGTTGTCTTTATCTTAAAATTGGATATTTAAATCCAACCAGTAAAGTGTTATTTGATATATAGATAAATCAAAGTGAACAAGAATAGTGAACAACCAACTGGAACACAAAATGCAATAAGGTAATAACTTTTACCTTAATAGGATTTGTTATCCTACCAGTTAAGTTGTACACAATACCTGCTAAACTACACAAGTACTTAAAAGTGACAAGAATTTCAATGTACAAACTATGTATCAGATTAAACATACTGGAACTATAAAATGCAATAAGGTAAAAATTATTTACCTTACGTGGATATTTAGATCCAACCAGTATAGCTTTAATTTGGTACATGAGTTTAATCATGTCACTTAAAGAAAGAAAGTGATTAGTAAAATAAGTGACAAATTTTACTGTGAAATTTGTACCAAATAAATTGTACTGGAAAGAACAAAATGCAATAAGGTAATCCTATTACCTTAATAGGATATTTCAAAGATCCTACCAGTACAAAACCTATTTGATACAAAATATTCAAAGTCACACATTTTACTACTTCACTATACAAATTGAGCAGGTTCACGCACTCAGCTTTACAAGTGTAGTTGCAAGACAAGGCTAATACACTCAGAACGCAAGAGGAGAGAAGACATCTGATTAGGTGAATAGTGAAGAGTTTCAGAATAGGCATGCAGCGACAAGAAGGCCTAAAGTATGGAAGTTATCTTCGTACAAAGCAAGTGGTCTTCAAAAGACAAATCCTTATCCTGCTCCAACACAAGAAGACGCAAGTACAATACTTTGGACGTCTAGGATTAAATCCTCTTAACCAACGGAGGAGATTAATCTACTGGAGATGCCTATAAAAATAGGCAGAAGCATGAGATCAAAGGCAAGTCATTGAGTTCAAAGCAAGTGGTTCAGTCATTACACTACGCATATCCAGCAAAAGAAAAAGTGCTTGAACACTCTGCTTTGACTCATGCTTCACTAAGCTCTTAGACTAGATCATTCATTGTAACATTTATAGAGCTTAGGTTTTAGTTGGAGGTTAGACACTTCGTGAATCAATTCATGTTGTTGTAAACACTTAGGAGAACAGTTGTTCGGATCCTAAAGTGTGGTTAGATAGATAGAGTACCTTTTGATCCCCACTGGATCAATTGAGAAAAGTCTAAGGACTGAGTAACTTTGAGTGGTGTTATACTCATTGTGAAAAACCTTCAATCTAGGCCAGAGTTGTCAAGGCTAGATTGGCACTAATTGTATTGGGCTGAATACTTTAGTGGAAATCCATCTGAAATAGGGTGGGACTGGATGTAGGAGGATTACACCACCTCTGAACCAGGATATATCGTGTGTTGATTTACTTTCATACATACAGAAGCACACACCAAACACATCTCACTAAAGGATTGAAGTTTGCCAGCAGCATCCTAAGCAGTAGTCTTTATCGACTGTACTGCTTAGCCTACTGCTTAATAACTCACTCTCCTTGAGAGTGTTTTCCACTAGAAGTTATCTTACACTCAGAAGGTGCCTCAGCAGTACCCTGGTCTTCACCCTCCTGCTGAGCCCACTGCCCATTTATATGTGTCTTTCCGAACGCCATAACAAGCCAGAACAAAAAGCCATCCAAGAGTCATCCTGTTCTTAACAGTTGCCTCAGCAGTAACCTGCCCACCAGCCAACTGCCAATTCAGCAGTTGCCTGCCAGTCAGCAAACTGCCTGTGCAGCAGTAGACTAAGCAGTTATCTGCTCACCAGTCTACTGCCAAGCCTACTTCCTCTTGTCACCAGTCTAAACATCATCTAAACTAGAAAGTTATCTCACACCAAGTATAAAGAGGTTAAAGACTTCCGCTGTGCATCTATTAATATCTTAAAAGATTATAGATCAACTCATCTAGAGGGAAATCTTGACAAAGTTGAAAAAGATTTAAAAGTCTATTCACCCCCCCCCTCTAGACTTTTACCTCTATCCGGGACCATCAAGTGGTATCAGAGCGGTGTGTTCCTAGAGTCAGTTTCTGACTATTTTTGAACTAAAGATCCAAATCCACTTTTATCCCAAAACTTTCTAAATAATGGATGAACAACAAGCAAAGAATCTGTTGATCAACAGCAACAAATCCAATGACTGGAAAATAAAGGATGTATGGGATGAACTCACGGAGAGTCAATCAGAAGATGATCAAAGCAGCTCAAATGATGAAAGCTGCTCATCAGAAAGGCAGGAAGAGGCTATTACTTGCTTCTTTGGAATGACTCCAGAAAATAGCTCCTCTCACAACTATGAAATGGCCAGATCCTATGAAGGTGACAATGATGAGGTATTATCCTGTTCCTCGAGCAATTCATATTATTCCAACTCAAACAGTGTTGATATGGAGGCACTGCTCCATCAATTTGAAAACTTCCAAAAAGAGCACCTTAGCTTAATGAATGAAAACTGTAGACTTCAAGAAAATCTTTTAGTAGCTCATGCACAATTGGGTGAAGCAATCAAAAAGATAGATTTTCTTGAATGTGAAAACATCAGTTTGAAAGAAAAGCTAAGCTCCCTCACTCCCCCACTCACTAAGGAAGTTCAACACACTGAAAAAGACACAGGATACACATCATGTTCTCACTCATTGAAAAACTCTCCCAAATACTCTTCTACCACAAAACATACTTTCAAAGAAGACACAAAGTCTCTTAGCCACCAACACTCCCACATCCATATAGTTCCCTCAAGAAGGAACATGTCTGCTCCTAAACCAAAATCAAAATCCCTGTACAAACAAAAACTTCCTTTCAAACAAGAAAACCAAAGAACCAGTTGGCAAAACACCAATAAGACCAACTACCCACCTAAGAAGCAGCTAAATCAACCTAGAAAAAATCACTCTTATCCTACACACAGGAGAAAGATGATAAACACATACACGGCCACCCCATCTGAATGCAACACTTCAAAAGGCTGTAGATCACACTGCTTAGGGGGAAATAGTTCTAAATGGGAATGGATGCCCAAATCTGTTCAAAGGAAGTTGCCCACTTCAATGTGGGCTACCACCACTCAACAATGATAAATACAGGAGGGTGCTGGAGCAACTAACTCAACTGAATAGTACATACATTCTAGTTGCTCTAAGCACAAGACAAGGAGCAGAAGGCCACTGACAAACTGTTCAAAGGAAGAACCCAAAGAAACACTTGCAGAAGAGGAAAAGAGAAGAAGATATCAAAGGAGTTGGAGATTCAATCAAATGAGGAACTTACAAACCAATACACACCTTGTGTTGAGGTTTTAAAGTTCAATCAAAATGCACAAACCAACTCCAGATCAACTGTTACATCTTCCTCAAGAGATGTAACTGTGCTTAAAGAAAGATGAAGGAAGGACCACCTAGGTGATGGAAGAAGAATAGCTGAGACCATCTCAAGAAGGTGACTCAGATGTCAGACTACTGCTAGCAGAAGACTCAGACTGAGAAAACTGCCAGATGTAGGAAAAGATCAAAAAGGATCCTCACCAAAATTGAAGCTCATATTCCCCAAATTCTTCCAATTGTTAGACACAAGATGATGAAAAGCAGTAGACTCAAACAAAGCATGTGGCAACATTCTCCTCAACAAAACAAGAAGACATCCATGAAGGGATTCGTACTAGATCATTACTCAAAAGGGAAGCCAACTTCTCTCTCAACAAACTGAATCCAAGAAACCCTCTCAACTACAGACCGTATACAAACCATTCACAAGGAACTCTATCTTAGAGAAAGATGGTAACTTGTGCCCAATATCCTGAGAAGGGTATTCAAGAACAAAATGGATGAGGAAGGCACCATCATCAAGAAAGGCCAGATTAGTAGTCATAGGCTACTAACAAAAAGAAGAAATAGATTTTGATGAAACTTTTGCCTCTGTTACACGACTTTAAGCAAAAGGATACTCCTTGCTAATGTCGCCTAATAAGAAAATCACTTTCCATCAAATGGCCGTAAAATTTGCCTTCCTAAATGTTCTACAAAAAGAGGAGGACCATGTGAAGAAAGGAGCCCCAAAAGAATGAAGAACTCAACTCTGGAACTAAGGGGGAATTCCTAGCCACCTGCTGAGGGGGAACTCTCATGAAAAACTCAAGGATAGCCGGCTGTAAAAAGCAGGCTACAATGAGTATAGACTACTCTGCTCGAGTAACCCTCTAAAGAAGCAACACCCTGCCTGAGCTCACTGCTGAACCCTTAATAAAGACAAGAAAAGTAGTCTAGTGCATCCACCCCAAAGGAATGAAGCGTCAAGGTCCATGAAAGTCAATCTCAGACTTTCAACTAAGAAGGGGAACAAATCCAAACAAAAGACTACTCTCCAGAAGCAGAAGCCTCAGCAGACGCCTGCTCACCAAAAGCAGCAGTCTCAGCAGATGACTGTTCGCCGGAAGCAGCTGACTCAGCAGACGACTAACACTCAGGTCACTGCTCAAAAAGACTGCATTGATGCTCTCAGCAGATGCCCACCTCAGAAGCAAGGCACTTTGTCAAAGGCAGGTGTCTCATGGTAGCAGGTGACTGACAATAAACCCACTGCTAATTCTCAAACACATTCAAGTTACCTGAGTCAATCATCTTGGCATCAATTGAGGGGGAACTAAGAAAATTTCATACCAGAAGGAATTTTCTAAGGAGTTTCATCCAAGGGGAATTGAGTGTTGTTCAACAAGAGTCATGACCAATAAACAAGATAAGTCAACAATCTGAGATCACGCATTATTCATAAAGGTACCATGCTCACTTATTCAAACTCAGTAGTATGGAATAAACAAAAAATGCTACTATTCTGAAAAATCCTAATTTTTAGTAGGAACATCCATCCTATTAAAATAAAGGACACTCAACAAAATAGTTAGCACCCTATTACTGCTGGAAACAGTAGTCTAGAATTTTCCATATCTAAGCCAACAAGAGCATACACAAGGAAGTATCAGACGTCATTAATGCTGAAGAAGGTTATGAGTCATGCAACATGCAAGAACGACACTTGCTGATCCAAGATTAAGCGGCTTCATAAATGATAAGACACCAATATCATTTAATTCTCACGCTTTCTCTCTAAAAGAGAAACCTGCCGCTTAACATTAAACAGGTCTCGGTTAATTAAAACTGATCTCGGAAAACGAAGAGATCATCTGCACAATTGGATATAAATCTCTCCTCCAAAGCCGATGTTAGTCCATTCCAAATTCTTAGAGCTCCGATATTCTTATTCTTCCTTAATCTTTCTCAAAGCTCCTCTACTTCAAAAATGGCCGATAACAACTCCAACAACAAACCTTTTGAACCATTCCTGAACCTCTCACTAGCCCAACCTTCCTCCACACAACAGCCTACTCCACAACAGTTGGATCAAGAAGAATTCTTAAATTTAAGAATCCAGTCTCTCAAAGAAAAGGAAGCTCTCGAAAACCAACTCACAAGAGTCCTCAACTAGAGAAAATGGAGATCGGCTCCTATTGACATGCTCTCTCAAGCCACTGCTTTTGTCAGAGTTGAAGAACAATTTGTTCTTCAATGGCTTCAAGCCCCAAATGTGGAAACTGCCATGAACATCTCTGGAATTTGGCGAGTCTTCTACGAGAAAATGAAGAATCTCAGAGAGAAGGATCATCAAAGGATGCAGAAGAGGCTCTCCAACTTTGCCCAAGGAGAATCATCAAGCAGAAGGAGAAGGACCGAGTGATTTGTGAATGCTACCAAAAGAGGGGGAAAGAGAGTTTTAGTGATTAGAACTCTTCTTTTGGCATCATCACAAAAGGGGGAAATTGTTAGACCCTAGATTTTGATGAACTGTTTTTGATGATGCCAAAAGCTTTTGTTATCCCCCCTCTATTGTAGCATTATTATAAGAGTCTTTGTTATCCTCTGTTGTAGCACCTTGCAGTTGTCTAGTACTAAGAAAATTATCTAGATGTTTCGTGCTCCTTTTATACAGTTAACAAATAAATATGACTGGAAAACCATAAAATGCAATAAGGCAATATTGTATTGCCTTAAAAGGATATCATATAAATCCAACCAGTTAAATTTATTTGTTACACACAATAACATCTCGCACAAATAAACCATCTATTTTAACTGGAAAACAAAATGCAATAAGGTAATTTTACCTTAATAGGAGTTGATATCCTACCAGTTAGATATTTAGCTTATCATGTTCGAAATACTAGATAAACCATACACTCAAAGGAAGAGTTCGTGATATTCTATTCACTACAACAAATAACAATGTAAAATCTATATAACAAAAAGAACACACTGGGATTCAAAATGAAATAAGGTAAAGTTGTCTTTATCTTAAAATTGGATATTTAAATCCAACCAGTAAAGTGTTATTTGATATATAGATAAATCAAAGTGAACAAGAATAGTGAACAACCAACTGGAACACAAAATGCAATAAGGTAATAACTTTTACCTTAATAGGATTTGTTATCCTACCAGTTAAGTTGTACACAATACCTGCTAAACTACACAAGTACTTAAAAGTGACAAGAATTTCAATGTACAAACTATGTATCAGATTAAACATACTGGAACTATAAAATGCAATAAGGTAAAAATTATTTACCTTACGTGGATATTTAGATCCAACCAGTATAGCTTTAATTTGGTACATGAGTTTAATCATGTCACTTAAAGAAAGAAAGTGATTAGTAAAATAAGTGACAAATTTTACTGTGAAATTTGTACCAAATAAATTGTACTGGAAAGAACAAAATGCAATAAGGTAATCCTATTACCTTAATAGGATATTTCAAAGATCCTACCAGTACAAAACCTATTTGATACAAAATATTCAAAGTCACACATTTTACTACTTCACTATACAAATTGAGCAGGTTCACGCACTCAGCTTTACAAGTGTAGTTGCAAGACAAGGCTAATACACTCAGAACGCAAGAGGAGAGAAGACATCTGATTAGGTGAATAGTGAAGAGTTTCAGAATAGGCATGCAGCGACAAGAAGGCCTAAAGTATGGGTGTTATCTTCGTACAAAGCAAGTGGTCTTCAAAAGACAAATCCTTATCCTGCTCCAACACAAGAAGACGCAAGTACAATACTTTGGACGTCTAGGATTAAATCCTCTTAACCAACGGAGGAGATTAATCTACTGGAGATGCCTATAAAAATAGGCAGAAGCATGAGATCAAAGGCAAGTCATTGAGTTCAAAGCAAGTGGTTCAGTCATTACACTACGCATATCCAGCAAAAGAAAAAGTGCTTGAACACTCTGCTTTGACTCATGCTTCACTAAGCTCTTAGACTAGATCATTCATTGTAACATTTATAGAGCTTAGGTTTTAGTTGGAGGTTAGACACTTCGTGAATCAATTCATGTTGTTGTAAACACTTAGGAGAACAGTTGTTCGGATCCTAAAGTGTGGTTAGATAGATAGAGTACCTTTTGATCCCCACTGGATCAATTGAGAAAAGTCTAAGGACTGAGTAACTTTGAGTGGTGTTATACTCATTGTGAAAAACCTTCAATCTAGGCCAGAGTTGTCAAGGCTAGATTGGCACTAATTGTATTGGGCTGAATACTTTAGTGGAAATCCATCTGAAATAGGGTGGGACTGGATGTAGGAGGATTACACCACCTCTGAACCAGGATATATCGTGTGTTGATTTACTTTCATACATACAGAAGCACACACCAAACACATCTCACTAAAGGATTGAAGTTTGCCAGCAGCATCCTAAGCAGTAGTCTTTATCGACTGTACTGCTTAGCCTACTGCTTAATAACTCACTCTCCTTGAGAGTGTTTTCCACTAGAAGTTATCTTACACTCAGAAGGTGCCTCAGCAGTACCCTGGTCTTCACCCTCCTGCTGAGCCCACTGCCCATTTATATGTGTCTTTCCGAACGCCATAACAAGCCAGAACAAAAAGCCATCCAAGAGTCATCCTGTTCTTAACAGTTGCCTCAACAGTAACCTGCCCACCAGCCAACTGCCAATTCAGCAGTTGCCTGCCAGTCAGCAAACTGCCTGTGCAGCAGTAGACTAAGCAGTTATCTGCTCACCAGTCTACTGCCAAGCCTACTTCCTCTTGTCACCAGTCTAAACATCATCTAAACTAGAAAGTTATCTCACACCAAGTATAAAGAGGTTAAAGACTTCCGCTGTGCATCTATTAATATCTTAAAAGATTATAGATCAACTCATCTAGAGGGAAATCTTGACAAAGTTGAAAAAGATTTAAAAGTCTATTCACCCCCCCCCCCCCTCTAGACTTTTACCTCTATCCGGGACCATCAATAACTCATTCATAGATACAACATTCATCTTTGTATGTATACATTAACTCAATGAGAATTTCTTCAGTTGTCTATACATACCGACACTACTCTGTACACAACGACATTAGTTGTCGGTACACACCGACACTACGTATGTAAGCTGTCTGTGTGTGTAAAAGAAAATACCTCCAACATCTAATTCGTCTTCTCCCTGCTATTCTCTTCCCCGTCACAACTGTAATCATCCCGGCTGTCAAATATCGGAACTTCGTTGACGCCTTGTGTCACATGTCCACCACCTGTCCCACCTAAGTCTTCGTCCCTAACGTTGTTTGGACCACCATCTTCCTCGTTCACAGCCCACCATTTCCATCCTCCGTCGTAGCTCCATCTTCTTCGTTCACAACTTCTGCGTTTCTTCCATTTCCGTCGTCCGTCATAGGTATCTTCCAAACCTCCGTCATTTCCGGTCACTTCTCCATCCACCATCAAATATGCTAGAAAATCATCCATTATATCTGGAAAAAGAAAATTAAAAAACAGAGAGAAAGGTGAGAAGCAGAGAACGAAGAGAGGGATGTGGGAGAGAAAGAAAATGTGCGTGAGGGATGGGGAGGGGAGGGCTGTGTGAGAGGAGGGGTAAAAGGAAGCAGTAAAAAAGAAGGTTATATATGGTGTACCCCAGGGTGTAACCCAGGGTGTACACCAAGACTTTTTGATCAATTTTTCCTAAAATATTTGACAATTTAACATAGAATTCAACGAAGACACAAGATCAATTTAATGGAATGATGTATACCTGCCAAATTTCTCGATAATAAAAAGCTTCTCCCCCATTTTCCGGCTGTTGAAAGCGATTTGCGGCGGAGTACTCCGTGTTATACAGCTGGACGCTGTTTTGCGGCTCGCCTCTACTGTGCTGCGACAGTGCTACACAATAATTCCTATTTTTCCGGCAGCTTAACTCTATATATATCTGCTCTCTACGGCGTCCCTGACGGTATGTAAAGCTTTTCCCCATTATTCCTTCATTTCCACCGTTCAATTTCATTTATCGCCCTATTTTAGCCTTTCTGAGTTTGCACGTAAATACATACTCCATAGTGTAAGTTGTTGGAAGTCGTCGGAACAGACTCCGAAAAGGATGGGCGCCTTCTTCAATGACGACTTCACTTCTCTTCCGGCGTACAATTTGACGTCCTCCCAGGATCTGCGGTTCTCCAAACAAGTTCATGATAATGTTCATGGTAACATCTACATTGATCAGGTAACTAATTTGCCGTTCTCTACGCCGTTAACTTTTCTACTGCTTTCTGTATACGTGCACACCGTCAGGTTTCCTCATTCATGCAAAACTTGGGGATACTGATACTTTTGACTTGTATCAATCATGAATTTGGTTGGTTGAGATATTCGATTACTGTTATACTAAAGTTATGTTATACTCATTTGGGAAATAGCAAATTATCAAAGGTTATAGTCATTTGGGAAATAGTATCAGTGGAGTAATACTAGGATAATCGCTAAGACGCTGACGCTAAGAAGTTGAACATATAATACAAAATTAGAACCTAAATCTGACTGCACTTTTCCAGTTTTCCGTGCAAGGAAAAATAATTACTCACTTGTGACGCTATATAGAACTATTTTGAGTTTGCATTTCCTGCATACAGAAACTATGAATCATTACCTGGCAAAACAGATGTAGATTTTGAGTTACAATTTTACAATTCGCCGCTCAATTTCATCATATCTGAATTCGGTTTTTACGCGTCAATATAACTTTTGTGTAGTTTCTACTTTCTAAATATAAATATTTCAACTATTAACACTAATTTCATTTTCATTAGGGGATAATTAGCTTTATCAGTTTATCCTTAATCAACCTTAGAAACTGCAAATTTAGCTTCAATTTTGGACGGAAGGAGTAGTATATTCTAGTCATGGCTGTAGCAACCAGAAAGGAACTTGGAGCTTTGCTGTTCACTGCCTTAAATTCTCATAACATTTTTTCTATAATTTGTAGCATTAGATTCCATAAGTTCTACCCACTAACCCACATCCATGTTATTTTTGGATTTTTATATCCAGTTACAATCTCTGTAAATATTAACAGTTGTTATTCTTCTGCAGCTCCTTTTGAGGTTTGTTGATACAGAGCAATTCCAGAGGTAAGTTCCTTGTCACATGCATACATATTACAGATGTTAATTATCCACATATCGACATATCCAGTAATGATGTATACTTTTCTCTCTTTCAGGCTCCGTGATCTTAAACAACTTGGTAATTTTACGATCTTATGTTACTTTTGCTCTATTGGCAACTATTTTAGGCATTGTCATGGTTGGGCTGCTACTATCTCTAGGATTTACAGGACTCTAGATATCTAATATCTTATATAAAGCAGAAGTTCAAACCTCTGTGAACTTTTTATAACTGTTTGCAGATTTTACCATTGGACTTAGCATGGTTTCTGGAGAGTTATAAATACGACTTTGTTATCTGTTACCTAATGCACAACACATTTACTGATATAACTTTTTGGCAATTTGTAGGAGTGGCACACATGGTTTATCCAGGAGCAGTGCATTCAAGATTCGAGCATTCCCTTGGAGTTTATTGGCTAGCTGGTCAAGCTGTTCATAAGCTCAAAGGCCACCAAGTATGAAATCAAGATATGGCATTCGTTTAAAACTCAATTGGTTTATAATATATATATTGTTTTGCAGGGATCAGAGCTTGGCATCGATAATTTTGATTTACAAACCGTGAAACTTGCAGGCAAGTAACTCATGTTGTCTCAATATGGCTCATGTTTATCTATTTCCAGTGTTTACTGTTTAGTGATGCTTTGTTTCTACCATTATCAAATCGCCAGGTCTCCTGCATGATATAGGGCATGGACCCTTTAGTCATATGTTTGAACGGGAGTTTCTTCCTATCGTCACTGGTTGTTCGGATTGGTAATACCTCATGTTGAAATCACATTGTTGTATTCATGTATATTTACTCTTTAGTATGTGTCTCTGCAGTATGGAGTCATGCTCTTCCTGCTCATATTTTGTGTTATGAAATCTGTGATCATAGTTTATACCTTAAACGCATCATAGCTCAAATATTTTTGTAATAATGTGTTTTAGTCAAAATTTACTTTTGGCAGGCATATTTTCATTGAAAAGGGACTTTCGTTGCATTGTTGTAATAAAGAAAATGAATCATTTATAGAAAAGAATCAAATAAGTGAATAACTATTCTTCACTATTTTGTTGATTGAAAAAAGTCCTTCAGGCTGAGTCATGAAGGAAATTTTATGTTTCTACAAGTTTGGTGCATCTTTCATCTCTGTCACTGGGTGTAAGATTTATCTTTTCTTTTTATTGGTACACGAATGATTGCCATGCCAAGTATGTATATATGTACTGGCTATTCTCACACTTCCTTCCTTTTGTTTTGTTTTTACTTTTAAGACTTTTATTCGTTTTGACAAAATAAAGGGTGTTGATTCTATGAGGTTGTTTTTTCAATATCTCTTTACCCTATACTTTTCATGAGGACTTCAGTTTCTCAGAAACGGATATGTAAAGAATAGTAGAATGTATATGAACTATGAAGGGGCGTCTTATCTGGTGTGTTACATTCGTTCTAGGTGTCATGAGCAAATGTCTGTGAGGATGATAGACCATATTGTTGATGGGCACCATATTGATATTGAATCTGAAACCATTAAAAGGGTTAAGGTAGGAATGTAGGATAACATTTTGACCTCAATTATTCTGTATTTGGATGGATTATAATACTTTGTGACTTTATTTTGGTCTAATTGGCTCGAAGGTGCCATTTGCCCATCACCCTGCTTTACTCGTGTTTCAGCTCCAATATTTTCCTCATAATTGACATTGAAGTATTTATTTATATTTGCGATTGAAGTTATTCCAGCGGTTAATATTAAGTTCAATGTTTATCACTGACAGGAATTGATTCTTGCCAGTTCCAAATATGCCTCATCAAAAGTAAGTTACCTCCCCCCTGCCGGCCCACCCCACTCCACCATTGAACCAATTGGGAAAGTGGGATCTTTCCTGCATCTAAGCTTGATTTTATTTCCTCTTCAAATGTCTGCAGTCTTGAATTCTTGACATCTTTCTTATTCTTCTATGTAGAGCTCTAGTGAGAAGCAGTTTTTGTATGATATTGTAGCAAATGGAAGAAATGGAATTGATGTTGACAAGTGAGTGGCTCTGAAAGTTTGACTGGTGTTCATACTCTATTTCTTGTCGCATTTGCCCAGCCATAAATTATATCGATTGATCGGATGTGACTCATATGATATATATTTGGCTTTCAGGTTCGATTACCTTGTTCGTGACAGCCGAGCATGCGGTTTAGGATGCAGTTTCCAGTTCCAGAGGTCTTGGCTTCTTCTTACAGGGCTACTTGAGAAATGACCTATTTTAATAGTTACATTCTTTCATCATCTATTCATCTGTGCAGATTGATGGAGACGATGAGAGTGCTGGGAGATGAAATATGCTACCGTGCCAAGGATTGTAATTAACAATTTATTATTAATAAAAAAGAAATAGTCTGTGCATGTGTTTGGTTGTCGTTCTTATTTTTGCAAACTGGATAAACTTGCAGATTTAACTATACACAAATTATTTGCAACACGGGCTGATCTGCACAGAACGGTTTACACTCATGCCAAAGTGAAGGTATGCTTGAAGTTAATTCTCACACAAGCTATTAAACCATTTTTTTAAGTTTCATATAAACCCACAAAGTTAAATGATTCAACGCATCATGTTTGTTTGTTGCCACCATTCAGGCAATAGAGCTCATGGTTGTAGATGCACTTGTCAAAGCGAATGGATATATGCACATTTCATCCTATATAGAGGACCCATCTGAGTATTGGAAGGTAGCTGTGCTATTCTAATGAATAATGATTTAAATTTATGTTCTCCTTTTGTTGGAGTAGTCTTACAGTTCTTCACACTTGTTGATGTAGTTGGATGACACAATATTAAAAACCATTGAGACAACTCCCAACCCAGAGTTAAAGGAATCTAGGGAACTGATCCGTCAAATTCGGAGGAGGAATTTGTACCAGGTAATTGAAGCTATAGATGGTTGTTCTTATGAATAATTTTTATATAACATACACACATAAACATGTGAGTAACGTTTCGGTTTCCTCAAGTCTGACCAGTTTTGGTTCTTCAATATGACAGTTCTGTAATGAATATGCTGTTCCAAAAGACCAAATAGAACATTTCAAAGATGTCACTGCAAAAGATATTATTTGTTCCCAGGTATTAAATGCAATTTTTCATGTCTTTGTTACTTTGCATTTGTAGCATAGTAGTTAAAGAATTGTTTGGTATATCTCTCCTAGGTAGGTGCAGGGAAGACTCTTCAAGAGGATGACATTTCTGTAAGCAACGTAAGGATAGATTTGACGCGTGGAAAGCACAATCCGCTTGAAAAGTATGCTAAAACCAGATGGTGAACTTATTTTCAATAATGTTGTGCTCTTATAGACACACAAATACATGCACATTTAGGGTGACAAATGTGTTTGAACAATTTTTTATTCGATCTATAATGGATTGATTAGAAATTTTCTATTAATTCATTTATGGTCCATAAAATCCATTCCATCCACAATCCAATTATTATTACCCGTTAACAACTTTTTCACATAGGGATATCATATCCATTCTTATAATCTTCCAAAAAGGTGGATTGGATGGACCAAATTTTTTATGGATGGGACTCGCTGCTTAATTTGTGACCCCTAATGTGCTCATACATGAATATATGGCCTGTCGCTTTTATTTATATATAATTTGTATTTTGCTTTTCTTTGCATATGTTTGGTGTACCAGCATCAAGTTTTTCAAGGTACGCAGTGCAGTGTCTGAGAACTTTCTACTTTTAGAATTTCCAATCCTTAACATGTTCTCTTGCATGTGCTAGTCATTGCAACCACATAGTTATAATGATAATAAAACAGCAATGTTATTTTAATTGATATGATAATAATTATCTACTGTAGGATTATGAAAGTGAGGAGAAGTTCTCGATATCGGATAATCGGATCAGCCATTTGCTGCCATCATCATATCAGGATATGATAGTTAGGGTGTACTCCAAAAAATCAGAATTGGTAGGTGCAACTTGAAGATCTTATTGTGTTATTTCTGTCATTTTTTGCATTAATTTCGTTGCTACCTTATTAAAAATAACATGCACCCCTGCTTTACGCCTTTTCTGTGATCTATTTGCCCATTTGGTAGGTAGGGGCAGTTTCAGAGGCGTTTGAAAATTTTCAGTTGAAGACATACGGTATAAAAGCTCAGGTTCATCCAACACCGGAGAAGAAAAGACGTCGCCACATAGATAATCAGTTAGTATAGTCACCTCTTCCCCCTGCACCCCGCACAGCCACACGCACATATAGTTTGCTTCTTTGCAAATGTATATACATCATCTGAAAAGGATCGTCATTACAATGTTTTAAAAGGGAATTCCTATAGCAAAAGGGGGGTTGGCTTGAATTGCTTTGAAATGGTTCTTAGAAATATATGACATTACTATAATAATGCCTGGAGTTGGTTAATCAGAGTTACGTGGCCATGAAATGAGAGAAATTGATTTCCAAGTTCCAACGCGCCTAATAAACAAACCATTGCCCGATACTTTGATGAACGTGTTTACTAGTCTACTACGTCTAAAATATGGACAATGGAGGTGGAGGATATGTAAGGGATAATTTTGACTGGCAAGCTTCGGGAGAAGTGTAATATTGGAAACTATGGTTCAGTTTGGCAGATAAATATTGCCCCTAAACAAAGTAAATCTGAATTAAATTAGTTTCCCCCAAAATGGTTTAATCTCTTCAATTTTCAAAGTAAAAAGCCATTGTCCAAAAGAATGCAATGATTGAGAAAGTGTTTTCACCCCAAAGTACACAATGACACAAACATAACCAGGAAAACTTTTGTACTGACTTTGAGTCAATCAAAGGGAGACAAAGCACCACCAAGGGATTAGAAGATTTGAAGGAACAATTTATGATCATTAACACCTTTAACATAAACAAATGACACATTCCCACCGTCTCCTAAAATTTTATCAAATTTGATTAGCATTAATAACAATAAAGTAAAAAATGTGTGGTTGAGGTTTGTGCAGTGGAAAAAGATATAACAAGAACACAAATTAATTGTTAAAAAGCCAAAAGCGATAATAAAAAAATGAAAAAATTCAAAATTTTAAAAGACGAAAGAAGTACAAGACAAGTACGACCAATTACCATGCTCTTTAAGTTTGTCCCAACTACAATATGGTTAGTGGCAATGTGGCATTGATTAAATTCATGATGGAATGCACACCCCACAAACAAAAATAACACTAATAAATACGGAGTATGAATTTCTTTCCCATAAACCATCAATACAGTTTTCAGCACAATATTCTAGCAGGTCTTGGGTGTACATCATAACCGAAACCGTTGAATAGGCTCTCAACATTGTTATCTATGCTGAAGAGATTGATAATTTGGATACACAGACTTCAATGAGTTCGCGGTAGTTCTAACTTCTAATTACCGGCAACGTGAACACAACTAAATGAATTGGAATTTATTGCTATTGTATATGATGTATTGTAAATTATCTATTTGTGCATAAATAATACAAAAGAAAATAAAGTTAAATTGAAAAGGATAAAAGAGTTTTAAATGGAAAAATTTATGTGCGCCTAGTTATCGTTGGGGTGCGCAAAGGACGGTCTAAAATAATTCACTCCACATCAAGTTTTCAAGGATCAAGCAACTGAGGCAGCAGAACGGTTGTGACAGTGGAATGTTGCCATGGAGGTGTTGTGCGCTAAAATTGTGAGAAGCACAAGTTTGGTGTTGTACAAGTAGTGTACAACTGTGAACCAATCGCTGAGAAGTAGAAGGTCGAGAGGAGGATACGATGGGTTTTTAGGCCTGTTACAAAAACAATTGGTTTCTTGTCCAAGATTAAAATTGATTTTATTTTTGTCTACTGAAAGCTATTGTTTCTATCATTATTTCTTCCCAAAATATAACCATACATGATTCTTTCCCAATAGGACTAGGTACGTTTGGAATGAAATAAGAAAAAGAAACGTCCACTGGTATGAATACATGATATATGACATCATATTGGGGAAAAAAGTCACAAGTCATATTTTGAGAAACATGCAAGATTTTAGTCATACATGTGGTTTTAGTCATTGCAAGTTGCAACATTCAGCTAATAAAGAAGTGCAGTAGACAATACATTCTGTTGTTGGCAAACTGCAAACACAACATGCTAAAAGCCAATTGCCTTACAAGCCCAATATCATGCAAATCCCAACAGCCCACACCCTTGTTCACTTCAATTCATGTGAGCGAAGTGACTAAACACAAAACCTGTTTTTTGCCTTATACAATTTTTGGCATTTTATATTTCTGTCCCGTGACAACTATAACTGTATAACGTTCTGCACTAGATATATCATATAAGTAGTGTATTTCTAAAACTTTACTGCTTAATCTTACTAGTGTTGATAACAAAACTGCTCTGTGGAAGCAAGTATTCTTTAGCTCTAAATAATGGCAAAATATAATTTCTTTTTCTTTACTCCTTTTTTTCTTTGCCCATACACGACACTTTCTCTGATAAAGGGCAACCCAATGAATATTAATCATTTAAAGAAGCTTTATTCTTACGCCTTTAAGTCCCTGTTTGAATTCCACCCCGGCGACGATTTAACGTTGTCTCCTAAAATGCTGCCTCCTTTTTCAGCATTTATCAGAGGATCAGATTCACCATCCTTTTCCTTCAATTGCATAGGGAGATAGATAAATGATTCAGCACTGTCAGTTTTTTTGGACATATAGAGATATACAGATTTAGACTTTTCTTTTTAAAACTCTTCAATCCAATATTTCAGAGAATTTAAATAAAATATTTTATTCCGTTCAAAAGGCTGAATAGTATCCACTAGTATCCCTATTTTAGGAAAAGGAAACAAAGGGATACATTCATTTTCAAGTGCGGGTCCACAAAGAAGAATAGAAGATAACTATTCTTTGAAAATTAATTGAAGCTAAAAAAATCCAATCATCAGTACCAAAAGAGTTGAGTTTGCACCTCATGTTTTATTTTCTTTGACTTTGAAGCATGAGGAGGGGTGCAAAGTAAAAATAAATAAATCATGGGGTACAAAGTTCAACGTATGGGGTGCAAAATCTAACAGAAATGGCTCTGTCTGAAAAGCAATGCCAAAGAAAGTAAACACAAGGTGCATATGTCAAATTTCCGTTGAGATTAAGGTGATTATGATAATGAAAAAATGGACAAGTACCTGAAAAACCTGGACTGATGCTTCACTCGCCTTTTGTTGGGTCTCAATAGTGACATAATACGAATAGGTAATCATTCCAACCACGGCAACAAATATTCCTAAAATGTTCCTCCAACTGAAAGGGTCATGAAGGAGAACATATCCGAAGGCTAACACAAGGCAAGTTTTCAGATGTCCTAATACTTGGTAGGTCACTGGAGATGTCTTCCCAATTACTAGAAATGTACTGAAGTTCACAGAAACTGATATTAAGCAAGATAGAACAATGAATGCCTGCCATAAGAACTAAAGAGTTAATGAATTGCGCAGTCATAAATTAGAGTAAACACAGACTCAAGAGAGGGTAGAATGATTAAATTCTTCACCAACACTTTTGGAGTGTAGCTGAAAGCAAACACATTTTTATTTGTCAAAAGCCCATCCAGAAATGGTCCAGTTACAATCAGAGTAATTGCTTGATAAGGGCAAGATTGATATAGAAGCTGTGTGGAAGAAACCTTGAACTTCTTCTGTATGGTATTAGTCATCTGTGTGAGAATGGTTAAGTTTCCTCCTATGGTAGAGGCCAATAATAAAAAACATTGTGCACATAACAACATGCACACATAATTTGGATGTAATGAGAAGTAACCCTTTGGATATAAATATAGTGCATTAAATTCAACATCTGAGGGCTTAAAACAAGCAAATGAAGACATAGAAAATGTGATGGCATTTCTGTTAAAAATAAACAGTGTACCATTCATGACCAAAACTGCAAAAACAAACATTAAATAAAATTGCATTTCACGTGAGGAGATTTACACACACATGCAACAAACATAAGGAGAGAGGGAGGGTGGTTTGAAAAAAGTAGGCTGATTGAAAGCAACGATTGAGGATACAATCTGTGCAATGCAGGTTGTGATAATTGCAAGCATAGATAGAATAGAGCCCAGCATGTTGAGCTGTAGATCAGTAACTGTTGCAATTCCAACACCAAAGAGAAGGATAGTCAGTGCAACCTGGACATTCCTACTGCAAAATCACACGATGGAACGTATTAATGGAAAAATTTACTAGGCTAGACATAAAATCTCAACTTTTTTTTTACCCCAGGGGGCGTCGGGGGAGGGGTTTTGGGGGGGCCTGGGGTAAACAGGGATCAATCTCACTCCATTGAGAATTGAACTCGGGACCTCCCATAAGGGAGAGTGACTGAGCGACCAGCTGGGCTGGACCACTTCCTCACATAACAACAATATCATAAAACACATAGCTATGTAAAACAAGTAATTCTACACAGAAAATGAATGTATGAGACATCGCCCCTGCATGAAAGAGGTCATGAGTAAAATTCCGAGTGGGAATTAAATATCTACAATTTCTTTCCCAAAAATGTCATTTCTTGTCCCATCAATGAATCTTGTAACAAGGAAGAAACATAGATCTTCCCTTTAGAAAAACAAATAAAAGGTATGAGTAGTATAACGCTCCACCTGAACTTCTTCCTAAAGAATAAGGTCTCCAAAAGAACCGTACAAGGGATGATTGCCAATTTCGTCATCTACAATAATAAAAGTTCATAAAAACAATAGAAGAAAAAATCAGACAAACTCATGTTCAATAAACCCCAATATCTGAAAGCATCACTCCATCACCATTGAAAGAAGGTAGTAATGACTATAAGACCTGGCAGGGAAACATCTATTCAGTCCCTATACTATTTACAACAAGTAATCTTACACATTATGGGCGCCCGTGAAGTAAGATTTCAAAACATACGCGTTTGAAGATTAGGAAATCATTGATATTGAAGGCTTGAAGCAGATCTTTACAGTTATTGAAGGTTTGAGGATTAAATTGTACTTAACAAGCACTGAAACTCCCCACAAGTCACGCTTTGCGATTCTGAAACACAGAAGTGTGTCGCAAAAATCGGGAACTTCAATTCCTGTTTTTGTGCCATTTATGTTATTAAAACATATTGGGAATCCCATTTTTCTAATATTTAGCATATTAGCAACTCTGGAATTCCGTTTTTTCGGGATTCCTTAATGGAAATTAGTGTTTGTATATGAAATTCCTTGATGGAACTTTTCCTTAGATTTCTTGCTAGCACCATCGTCTTCGTGATATTTCGTTGCTAAAAATGTAGTATGTTTTGCATATGATGATGTACTAATATGTGAATATGTCACTAACTTATATGTTTGAACATTTAGACTATTTTTATCATTGGGCATTTAGCAAAGGTAGATGAAACAAACATGACCCGTCAGTGATTTGTGGAACCGTCCGGAACCGCATCGTACCACCGGTTTGGAACTGGAGGTTTACTAGTCCGGTTCATTTTTCCGAAAATGAAGAACCAGAACCAGAGGCTTACTAGTCCAATTCTGAACCGGACGGTTCCTAACCTTTTTTTATTAAAATTAATAAATAAATAAATAAATAAATGATCATCATAAAGATAATAAGAATAGTTGTACTTGAATATTGTACTAACAATAAAAAACTAATGAGTATTAGTTAGTAATTTTTAGCCATTACTAGTTATTGGAAAATCGAACCGGAAGTCCGGAACCGAACCGAATGGGAACTGGAACCGCCGGTTTTGGAACCAGTGCTATGCGATTCCAGTGCCTCAAAATTTGGAACCACAAACCGGCGGTTTGGTTCCAGTTCCGGTTCAAATTGCGGAACTAAGTGTATCTCTCTCTGTGAATACTGAATACACACACACACACACACATATCTTAAATATGCATATGATCTTTTAGAAAAAAATAATAAACATATCCCTTTCTTTTAATGTCTGCGTGTTCCGCCATCGTATCCTATAGTTTTTTGAAATGCCATTTTCACTAGAGATTTTAAATGATCGCGTTTCACAAGAAATCCCTCTATGGGTGATTTATTTACCTTAAATTATTTAGCAGCAGTGCATTTAGAAAGCCTGAGTTTGAAATCAAATTTCTATTGTCATGTTGACATTCTTGGGAGATCAAAAGAATGAGGAGCCATGATATTTGTCTTATCATGTTTATTTTTTTAGATTTCAAAATCTGCCTTCTTTACATACTTGTTGCCTTGTTTGGGCAGGAACTACTGATATGAGGTTTACCCTATTATAATAGGGTCATATCCTAACTTTTACCGGTGTTATAATTTCTTTCTTTCAGTTAAAAGTAAACTTCTCCAATTCTCCACCCAGTGTCGTGAACGATATATGCCTATGTGGCATGTATTGCCCACAATTATATATAACAGCATTCCTACACATTTACCAATGCAATTCAGTACATTATCGAAAAAGAAATCATTCTATTAAGAAATAAATGAGTGGATTTACCTGATAAAATCCAACAGAATTGAACCCCAAACTTAGATTGAGAAGGCCAATTGAAGTCCCATTCAGCATTCCGAACCCCATCACAGCTCTGGGATCAAACGGCTTGTGTTCAAAGAATTTCATCCATAGGGCCACATGAAGAGAACAAAATGTAACTAGAAGATGCCAACTTGTCAAAGTTGTAGCTGACAAGATAAGGTTCAATTTAGTAAAATATGAATTATTTTTCAAAGTTAATTTCAGAACACATGATCCCTAGAGAAGACTGTTTATTTATATATCATCATTTTACTCAAACCATATTTTCATCAAGCAAAAATTTTTTTTGACAACTTCATACATAAAAATCCTAATACCCAACGAGGGGATTTCCATGAAATACAAAAATACTAGATATAGTATGATACTTCCTCTTGTCCGACTGTGTCTTTGTACAATCTTTCCTTTTTGTCCGTCACACTAAATTTGTCTCATACTATATTTGATGATATTTGTGTGGTTTTGATTTTCTGACAATTTACAAATTCAATATGACCCCATAATCTATGTTTAATAAACCAGGCCGGACTAGGTGGGTTGGCTAGGAAACTGGTGAACCGGCTTCCTACCCGGTCCTCAATGACCCACAAAATGTACCTACAGCCAGAAATAAACGGCGGCCCATGTATCCAGAAGAACCCGGAATTTAGCAATGCAAAATTTCATCAATGGTGGGAAGCAAACCCTCGCATGCAGTGAGAATGAACAAGCCTCACACCAAATCTCTACTACATCTTGTTATCATCAAGAGTTCCTTAAATATTATTATACTTCGTACCTCTTATGAGTTAAATGTTTTTACTGGTTATTAATAAATACTCGTACATAATAAATACAATAATTCATATTGTTTCTATTATTGTATTATACAATTATGTACTCCCTCCGTCCCGTTAGAAGGTTCCACTTTCCTTTTTTGGACGTCCCGATAGAAGGTACTCATTTCCATTTTAGGAAACAATTAACAATCTTAAGTGACAAATTAGTCATTAAATATTACAAATAATACATTTATAACATCACAGTTATCAATAGTTCAATACTAACACATTATAATATATGCCTATTAAAATTATTTCTCAAAATATACCCGAAGTACTTTATTTAATTATCACCTAAATAACCGTGCCATTTTTCTATGGGAACCTTCTAGCGGGACGGAGGTAGTATATAACATTAAAATACAAGTTAAAATTCTTATAGAATATTTTTAACATTTTATAATAAGTGTAGTATTTCAAATTTATTTTTGAACAAAGTATGATATATATTTAAATATTTACTATAGAAAGAAAATCATATGTAAATATTTTATAGATCCACAAAATAAATATCAAATAATATTATTGTTTCAAATAGGCCTAAAACTATATTTTAGAATATGATTAAATATTCAAAAATGCTTACAGATTCTAATTGAATAAAAAGTAATATATTTAAATATAGAAATAGTTTAAAACTAAAGCAATAACAAATAACATTTTGAATATAGCAATATTAATATTATTAATATTTTATCATAGTGAAGAATAAATAACTTTAATTTTTTTAGTATAATATGTTTTTATTACAGCAAAATATATATAATACGTAGTAGTTGACTGGGTTTTCCGGCGTTGACCGGGTTGACCCACCGGTTTCGGGTTGACCCGTTACCTGATCATTCATTTGGGTCACTTCCCGGTCCGGTTTTTACAACATAGCCCATAATCCCACTTTTCTTAAATATGTGTGTCGCTTCTTTATGTCACAAAAGTAATGGGGTGGAGGTAGTAATATCCTTAAAATTTAAGTCACAGAACCAGACATTCTTACACATTCAATGAACGAATGGAAGTCAGGAAACAAGATGAAAAAAAGAAGATTGAACTCACCAAATGTAAAACCAAGGGAGCTGATAAGGGCCTTGTTGCAAATAACAATAGAGACAGAAGATACCACAGACAAGCTGAGTGCGCCAATAGTCCCAAGCTGAAACTGCTGGCCATCACTCATCTTTTCACACACTTTCCCAATCTCCAATTTCAAATTCTATAGATCACACATCACAACTTCGTCACTTCCGAATCAATCACGTAACTAAACCACACATAACATAATCAATGAAAAAAACACAAACCCAGCTTAGCTGGGGAACACTAATAATAAATGGCACCCAAACTAACAAAAAAACACATAACGATATATAATGCGCATAGTTCAGCAACCACTCTGTATTTTATCGCAAAAATGAAAAACAAACTCACAACAGCTGAGGTTTGTGAAAACCCTAGATCTGCAACTTTCACTTCTAACTTCAGATATTATATCATTCTTGTAAGGAGTGTCTATACATGCACCATATACATAATACATGTATGTGTATATATACATATCTATGAGCAATAATAATAATGCACTTAAATGCATAGAGAGAGAAACGTAGTATAGAACCTCTGTGGCATATGATCCTTGAATTTAATGATATGCAGCTATCAAATTTAGAAACTTTTGAGGGAATGTAGGCAATTATGTGTGAAAAAACATAATAAAGAAAAAATATCAGAGGCACAAATAAATGCACAATGGCGATAAAAACATAAACTCATAAGGCAGTGGCATCTTTTCCTTTATTCTTTCTTTCTTTTACTCCGTAACTAGTATATGGCCCGTGCGTTGCACAACGGGGAAGTTTTTGTTATAAATTTTACATTTATGTAATTCAATTTAAAAAGATAAATTGTATAGAAATTTCTCAACTAACCTGTACGTGTGCATGTAGGGGCCGAATATTTTATAAAAAAAAAAATGCATTACCTTGTATTTTATAAAAGTATAAAGAGAAAAGAAATAATTCATAGAATGTCATAGTAGCACATATGTACATTCATATTCTTAAGCAATCCATATGTTAAATGAGAATATTAGATGATTGTTCTATAATTAAAAGTATAATTAAAACAATGGGATCACAAATTCATTACTCCCATTATCAAGGGATTATTTTAAATGAGTTTAAACAAATTAAACAGCAATAAACCTTTATTGTTGGGATTATTACTTTATCAAATTAGCTTTGTCATATTGGATTTTTTCCGCAATCTAATGCACAATTAACTCAATGAACTAAATCAGGCCATTTTATTTTATTAAAGCAATATATAAAGAGAACTGGGGTAAATGAAAATGAAATGAATATATAAAGAGAACAGTCTCTATGGTTTGACTCTTAATAAACCCTTTAGTTTTCTTATCTTGTCGCTCGTATCTCTAATCATTCCATTTCTCATCTCGCCTCTTTATTTCATTCACTTTTATCAAACATGTAATTTTTATTGAGAGCGCTAAGTCACATAATTATCAAAATGAATAAGATTTGAGTTAATTTTTACTAATGAAGTTACTGTACATAATCACTTTCATAGATTAAATCAATCCAATCATTTCAACTAATATTTCATGAATTTCAATTAGTTCAATCAATTCATTAATCTCACAATTCTGTATAATTAATAAACATAAATATTACCTATTGAGAATTGGACCATAAGTTGGATTAAAAATATATTTCACAACACCATTGTAATTATGTAAAAGTGATCGACAAAATTTATAGAGTATTATAACTACTCCGTATATTTCATAAGTTAACATTGCTTTCATATGTTCTACATATTTAAGAGAAAAGACTAAAAACAATGGCTATGGCATGCGTTAATGACACGTACATGTTTTAAAAGTCCCATGTGTATATGTATAGCACTATAGCTCATCCCACGTAAAAGGGTAAAAAAAAGTACTAATGTACATTGTAGATTCAAGTTATTTTTGATAGCATAAATCGTTTCATCAAGCCTCTCTGTTTTCACTCCACTAAAGCATATAGTCATATACATTACACTTCCATTTTTCCTTCTGTGTATTTGCCGAAGACATACCCAAACCATCCACTTCCACTCTTGTCCTTCCTTTAATTTGTTCAGTCGACCTTCATGTAGATAAATTTAAACCAGAATAGTCCGCATTCATATAAATCCTCCATTACCGGTCAACTACGAGATATACACCCACACACAAATACACACACATATAATATGCATCACATATCTATAATTAATATTCTGATCTAAGTATATAGATCGTCCATACTGAATGTTGTCCTGATCTAGATTAAACTTTATATCCTTGGTCAACATATTTAAAAACTTTGATCAATACTTTTGCAAACTTTAAGACAAACAAATTGATTAAACATGAAATGACAATACATAACATATACGACTAAACGACTAGATTTAGACTTTTCAGTTTATCATTTAGGTTATTATCTACAAATCTTCATACAAGTATATAATATCAATAGATTATGGTCTAAAAATTCTAAAAACAAATCAAATTTGGTTTTAGAAATCCTTACTTTTGGGTTACCATAATAAGTATTTCCTAAAGGAGGTAATCAGGAATTCAAGATAGAGGTGGACGGCGGACCATATCCAGATGGAGTATGGAGTACCTATCGACTACAGAGCGAGGTCCGGAGGAGGAGAAGCAGGAGCCAGGAGGAGGGAGCAGCGAGGCAACTGGGCAGCGAGTCGGCGGGAGGAGCGATCAGTGCGCAACGTGTGGCGACAGGCCGACGGCGTTCAGATCTCCAGTGGAGAGTGGCGATGGCGGTAGTATACGCTTAAACAAAGTTAAAAGTTAAAAATAAACAAAGGTTAAAAGTTAGGAAAAATTGACAAGAATAATCCCACCTTTCACTGGTCTTCTCATAATAATCTCACCTTTAAATAATCCAAAAATAATCCCACTTTTGCACCTCATCTTCTTTCATTGGACCCTGACCAAGTTTTTTTACCTTTTTTAAAAATCTTATATAAATAATCTCACATTTATAAGGATATAATTAAAAAGTGAAAGGTGAGATTATTTGTATAATTTTCAAAGAAAGAGTAAAAAACATTGTCAGGGTCCAATGAAAGAAGATGAGGTGCAAAGGTGGGATTATTTTGGGATTATTTAAAGGTGTGATTGTTATGAGAAGACCAGTGAAATGTGGGATTATTCTTGTCAATTTTTCCTAAAAGTTATTACTCATGTACGGAGTATAAACAAAGATTCTCGTTTATACTCGATAATTTAATAATTAAATATTAAAAATAATATATTATTAACATCATAGTTATTACCTCTAACCTTACTATCTTCATCCCAATTTGTTTTACAAAATCAAAATTTTTTTGTCAACCAATATTAAGGTCAAAGACTCAATATCCATAAATAGGTTTAATTTTAATAATTAAAATTTACATATTTATAAACTACATTAAAATATTTATAAAATTGAAATATACAAATTAAATGATGGGTACTATTATTTTGCAAAAATGATTAAAATGAAATTGTTTAATCCAAAATCTCAAATTTTGCAAATCAAATTGGGACGGAGGAAGTATTATTATATACGGAGTATATACTATCATACTTATCAAAATTATTTCTAAAAATATATTCGAACTATTTTATTTAGTTATTGTCTAAATAATTGTACTGTTTCATCATGGGAACCTTATTTTTTTAGGGTGGTCATGGGCCATCTCTGGCCCTAATCCCAATTCCCCAAATTAAATTAAAAAAAAAAATACATGTTGACAGGAAAAAATGTTAAAACTTATGTTATCTTCAAAATGAGGTGCAAATGTATGAAATCAGAATGTGAATGCAGAATGTATGAAATCAAACTTAGTGTGAATATGAATGCAGAATGTATGAAATCAAACTGCCCAACATACTAAATTGGTATACTTTTACCTTAAAAAACTAAAGGGCTCCATTCCCTTTAGGAAAATTAAAGATATAGTAATTGGATTTTGTAACTAAATGTTTGCAGACTTGTAGTGGAACCCACTACGGTTTTGTTCTCATGTTACTAAGGATTAAGGAATGTCTTATACAACACAGACACATATATATGAAGTACTACATTGGTTACTCAGTACTTCATACATAAAACAGAGATTCATAAACTACACATATTTCAAACTTTCTGATTCGGTAACAAATTGTCAACGTTTTAGAATTGCTAGAACATTTGAAAACATCTATTATCCATAAATCCGGCCATCATGCTTAGCCAAGAAGGGTTCTAGTTTACAGACTAGAGAATAGCGTGAAGATCAGAAGATCAAATAAAAAGAGAAATGGATTATTACCTTATCAGAGAAGAGTTCACAGACCACAAGGATTTCAGGCTTTCGGCAATTAAATCTGGGCGGCAATAAGGAGATCAGCCACGATTGTCGGGCATAGACCATGAAGATCGGTGAATGCTAGGGATCGGTGGAATAGTGAATAGAGTTTGCCGACTTGCTATTGTGTTGAGATTGAGTATCTTACATGTGAGGTGGTGGAAGAAAAACATTGAGGCTTAAGCCTCAGAATGAACTGAGGCAATCTTACATTTGGAGTGATCTGGTCAGTTCGGACTCACGAGAACCGGCGTCTTGCCAAGCCCGTTTGAAGGCGTTTCGGGTCCAAATTTTTTATGAAATTTTGTGAGCATGTTCTTCGTTAAACGTCCGTCTCAAAATGGTCCAGTTACAATAAGAGTAATTGCTTGATAAGGTCAAGATTGATATAGAAACTGAGTGGAAGAAATCTTGAACTTCTTCTGTATGGTATTAAAAATCTGTGTGAGACTGGTTAAGATTACCCCTATGGTAGAGGCCAATAATAAAAAAGTGCACATAACAACATGCACACATAATTTGGATATAATGAAAAGTAACCCTTTGGATATAAATATGGTGCATTAAATTCAAGAGCTAAGGGCTCAAAACAAGCAGAGAAGAAAAATGAAGAAAACATAGAACCTAATCTCAAGAAACTAAAGTAAATCACTTTAGTATATGTCGCCTCTATAGGTGATACTGGAGCCAACTTCACTTGTGATGTCGTTATCCCATAGTTCCTATCTCACAACATTCCCTTTCATGAGGTTCAGGTATGCGTGTTGCCGATGTTGATATAGTTTCTTGAGATGAGTACAATTTACGGCAATGTGTAGTGATTCTAGTAGGGGCAGGGTAAAACTGTGGTGTATAGTGTATGTTTGTAGCGTTAGTGCCTATGAGGCGTCACTGTGACTGTTACAGCAGCGGCTAGATTTTCACTGTGTTTGTCACTTACTGAAATATTGTCCTTCAACGAGAAGTTGGCATTGACACAAGGGTGATAGTGTCACTGCCACAAAGTCAGGCGGCTGTGTCACATAATAAGCACAATTTTTAGTCACATAAGGGCTCTTTGACCAGAAGATCCATCTTCTCGTGAAGAAATTTGAGCACATCCTTTCTGTTTTCCTTCAAGAGCAGTTGTCTTAGCTTTCCAAACGTCTCCCTGTCGGGGCGAATCCCTTTCTCAATCATCTCTTCCATCAATTTACAACCCCTGCGAGCATCCCCGTCATCACATATCCCATTGATAAGCACAGAAAAAGTGTGCATGCTGGGAATAACCTGCTTCTCCTTCATAAGCTTCCATATTTTGCGTGCCTTTAGAAGCTCCTTTCTCGCGCAAAACATTTTTATCATCATGGTATATGTGTCCACATCAGCATCACAGATCTTGATCATCTTCCGGAAGACTTTGAAAGCCTCATCAGTTTCCCCCTCACCAATTAAACTGCTCAGAATGATGTTACAAGTCCTTGAGTTTGGGGTCACACCTTTATGGTCCATCTCGTTTAGGACCCTATAAGTGTTCCCATACCTCTTCACTTTACAAAAAGCGCTTATTAGTGAATTATAAATGGCCACATCAGCGTGGACCCCGCTTCTTTGCATTTCATGGAATGTATCAATTGCATCTTCAATTCTGTTATGCATACCATAAGTATGGATTAAGATGCTGTAAATAAAAGAAGTTGGCTTACATCCCCCAAACTCCATCTCCTTGACAACTTTAACTGCTTCCTCAACCTGGCCAGCCTTGCACAGGATATCAACCATAATACCATATGTGACTATATCGGGCCCACAACCTGCCGCGACCATCATTGCATAAATCTCTCTCGCCTTTGGAAGGTTGGGCTCTCGTCCCCATCCCTCGAGCAATATGCTATACGTTTTCACGTCGGGGGCAAACCGGTCTTTCACATCATTGAAAATCTCTTCCGCTTTCCTCACGTTTCTCGATTTGCAAAGGGCGCTCAACAACCCGTTGAGAGCCGCGAGGTTGGGAGGGACATCATATTTCTTCATCACATTGAACGTGTACACCGCCTCCTCCACCTTCTTTGCCCTCGCATACTTCCTCATCATTATACAAAATGTCTCAATATTTAGCATACCCTTTCCTTTCATTATATTCACAAGATCCCACATTACTTGATATTGTCTAATCTTGGCAAGGGATTCAATCATGCTGTGATAAGACCTGACACTATGCTCGTAGTTCCGTTGTCTACCTGCCCACTCGAAGAAACGGTGAGCCAACATACCAGCATTGTCAAATCTCTTCAGCACTTCTTCGACCAGATCTGTTGATGGCCTGACCCCACTCCGGTCAAGCTCAGCGTCAAGCCCTGATTTCGGGCAAGACATCAAAATGTCACAAACCTTTTTCATGGGATCAAACATGAGTTGTGTTGTGTCCTTCGAACAGAACATTCTGGTGAATGATTTTGTCTTTAAGCAACATGATCTCTTGGTGCAGCTACGTAGTATGATCATTTTGAGGAAGAAAAATCAGTACGCTAGTGTGTACCTGGAATAAACAAATTAGGGGAACAAAGTGAGAACTGATTGAACAACAAACAGGAATAAACAAATCAGAGAATTATAGAATAGTGAGAATGCTGATACAAAAACAACCGGGGTACAATGTAGCAGGGGGGACAAAGTATTCAATCATAAATATTATGACCCAGAGACATATGTAAATGCAATGCAGACATGCTTGGAGAAGACGTGCAGTTGACAGGCCAACATTTAGTTAACTCGTTTTATGTACATTAAACTGATTATATTTAAATCTATTTAGTTGGCCACAACAATTAGCCAGAGCAATAGTGTATTACAAGGAGAAAGGGGTGCAGTTCAGCACACTTCCTCATTTAGCAGTAGTCGGTAGTCATTCCCTAATTCAATGTTACTACATCCGTCCCGCTTAAAGGTCCCCATTGCAAAATGGCACGGTTATTTAGACAATAATTAAATAAGATTATTTGAGTATATTTTGAGATGTATTTTTATAGAAATATAATATAATGGGGTCATTGATGATAACTGTGATGGTATAGATGTATTAATTTTAATATTTGATGATTAAATTGTCATTTAAGTGTGTTAATTGTTTCCTAAATAGAAATGAGAATCTTTATATAGGACATCCAAAAAATGAAAGTGGGAACCTTAGAATGGGACGGATGAAGTACTTTTTTCTTGTAATTTCTTGTATAGATTAGCTAAACAAAGGCTAAATGAATTGACAAAAACTTTTCCTGCTAAATTCCTTTTTCATCAGTTTCTGTTCTTTCTGCAATTCTTAGTCATCAATATATCAGCTTATCAAACACATCATAATATTTAATGTAGATTAACACAGCATCTAACCTGAACAATACTGAAACCCACTAACATGCAATTAAACTCGAGAATTTAATTACACTGTTTAATATTTATGTTTAATGATATGCTACTACTCTATTACACGATAGTATATAGTAGCAAGATTCATTTTGGTTTGAAGAACGCATTAAGCTTTTCTTCAATTTAGCGAGTTAAGGTACTTGATTAAAAAGTACGGAGCACTATTCATATTCACTCTTGTAGAATTCAGTGACTACTTGCACATATAGCTAGAACTTCTGTCTTCTGATTCTTCACGAATAGAAAATGCACAAAAAGCACAACACGAGTGAATGCGTCTCAGAATTGTCACTTTCATGATTACTGATTACGAATTGCCATCTCGATAGCCAGGTTATTATTTTTTCACTGCTTTTCATATAAATAGATATTAGATCATTTATTGTTTAGTTAGCTGCTACTTTAGGATCAACTGTCTACGTTTGCTAATAAACCAAGATACTGTGTGTAATGAGTTCGATATATACACCTTAACTGTTAGTATATAACGAGTACCGGAATTCATATATCCATTTCACATTTGTATATGAATCTTTATGCAAGGAATATTCAAACTTTTCACAATTGCTCCGTAATCCATATATGTTCAGGGAAGCAAGCACGTACACTCATTGGCATTTCATCAAACAAATAGAGTGTCAGCACTGAACAGATAAATTAGGGCATATTCATTCCAGAAGATACACTGACCTTGACTATGGAAACAGATGGAGGACTCACAGTCGATTCTTTTGTCAGAAAGATGTTCAAATTTCCAGGTAGCTGTAGCTTGTAGAAACAGAAAAGGAACATATCACACTATGAAGACTGTTTGGATGGAGCGTTTGGATTTTGGAAGGGCTAGTAATGGAAGTGTTAGTAAGTGTTAGTAAAGGCCCGAAAGGAAAGGAAAGTGTAAGTGTTAGACATAATTTTACCTTGTTTGTGAGAGTCAAATGAATGAAGTATTAATAATGGAAGTGTTAATAATTTTACCTTGAGGCAAAAGAAATGAGTAAAGAGAAGAGATGAAAAAAGCAGACCATCAGACCCGTTGGAAAGATATTCGAAGTGAAATGTCGAAGCATTTTATGTTTTTTAGGTAAATGAAAAGGGTAATAATTGTCCAACACATCAAAACACTCCAAATCGGGGTGTTGAGGTGTTGGGAAGGTTATTATTAACACTTCCTAACCGTTACTAACACTTCTTAACACCTCTGGATTTTTCTCCCAAACAAATGTTAGCATCAACACTTACTAACACTTCCATTACTAACACTCCTCAACACTCAATCCAAACAGGCCATGAGGGATCACTTAGGCGGGGGACTATGGCGCTAGGCAGCCTCCTAGACAAATTGCGGTGTTGTTTTTAATTCTATCAAACTAAGGGAGTGTTTGCAATTGCTTCAACTTTAAAGAAGTGATTTTTTAAAGTGATTTTGGGAAAAGTGATTAATAGTAAAAGTTGGTAGTGTTTGAAGAAAAAGTGATTCTGAAAAAGTGAAAGTTGGTAGTGTTTGGTAAAAGAAGTACTTTTTGTGTAATAGAAAAAGTGAAAAGCAGTTTAAAGCACCCTTCCACCTGCTTCCAGCTTTTAGCTTTTAATTGATTAATTTAAGCAGAAGCTATCATTTGAAAACACTCTTTTTAACTTTTTTTAAGCCAAAAGCTGAAAAACACTTTTTTTTTAATGAAATGCAAACACTCCCTAATACGAAGTATTCCCTAATCCGTATTACTCCGTAGCTTATTCTTATTGTTTTGAATCACACTCTTAGGATCTGTTTGCAATCCATTAAAGAAGTGTTTTTAATTTTTTTTTTAAGAAAAAAACACTTATTTTACCAAACACTACCAACTTTTATTTTCTCGATTTCCGTTTAGAATCTACTTTTTACTTTTTCTATTACACAAAAAGCACTTATTTTACCAAACACTACCAACTTTTACTACTAATCACTTTTTCCCCAAAAGTGTTTTTATTTAAGCACAAGTGGTTGCAAACAAAGCCTTATACTATCAAAAATATACTCTTTCCCCCTCTCTATTCTTTAATAATGATTAAATAACTTTTAATCTGCATTAGCGAAAATTATAGACATAATTTCATAATTTTTCATTGTATCCGCTTCTAATATTGTAATTTTATTCAATCGCAAATTTGATCGGGTAATTAATAAACTTATCCAAACTAAAGACTTTTTTTATCGGAAGTCGAATCAAATAAAAAGATGATCAAAACTGACCTCACTCTAGGTAGATCCTTTTGTCTTTGAATTTGTAAAGTGAGTAAATTTACTCAATTGAAAATGATCAAAATTGACACATTGAAACAAATCAACTTCAGTGAACAAAACCGACTCAAGTGAAGTTTACTTCTCGATTTTATCGTTAATCGAATGCAAGAAAATTCTCAATTTGCACTTTAGACGCTCTTTGTTACGACTCGAAATGAGATCATTGTAGGTATAATAATAATAATAACTTGTAAATAACCAAGCATTCCAGCCCAACTGGTTGTGAGATTATTGTGTCTAGTGGGAGGTCTCGAGTTCGAAACCCGCTAGGCACATAAAGGTTCGAAACTTAACGGAGTGAGTTTCAGTCCTGATTACTCCAGCCTCCCCCCCCCCCCCAAGACCCCCTTGGAGTAAAGAAAAAAATAAATAATAAATAAATAAACAACAACAACAACAACAACAACAACAACAACAACAACAACAAAAGCAACAGCAACAACAACAGCAAAAGCAACAGCAACAGCAACAGCAAAAGCAACAGCAACAGCAACAGCAACAGCAACAGCAACAGCAACAGCAACAGCAACAGCAACAACAACAACAACAACAACAACAACAACAATTAGGGTTCCACACCCACACTGGTTAGTGCTAAATAATTAGGGCGACTCGTGTGTAAAGTTTTAGGACTAGTAACAGACACAACCGAAAGATACGAGCTTAAAACAATAAATCTCTATTACTTTTAAAAGTTCTAAATTATATTTGAGATTGTAAAAATCTTGGTAAAACTTTTGTAACGAGGGAAAGATGCCCAATAACAAGGAATGTTATTTTATACCTAAAACAGATGTTTGTGAAGGACTTTTAGGACTATTGTTACCTATTGTAAATTTGTATGGGAAATATTTACTTTTGTGGTTCATACTAGGGCAAGACAAGCTAAGGCCCGGTATCAGGAATGGCCGATTTTTGAATTCAGATTTTAGGTCAGGATCGATATCAGACCGGTGAAAAATAGACCTCAGACCTCACTTTTTGGGACCGGGGTTGGAGCCCATGTTTTGAACTCGTTCATTTTTTCCATTAAATCCATTGAGAACACTTTAAAATGAGTTATAGTCCATTTAAAAGTTGAAACATAAGTAGTTAAAAATATTTAAATTATCGGGAGCGAACCTAGACCAATTAAGGGATTGGAATCAAAGATAAGGTCACGGGCCGCCCTAATTATTTAGCACTAATCAGTTTGGGTGTGGAACCCGTCCTAAACTAGAATGTCTTTACTTGTATTTTACATGTAAGCATGTTCATATTTTTTTTAAAATAATAATTTACAAGTTATTATTATACCTATAATGATCTCATTTCCAGTGGTAACAAAGAGCGCCTAAAGTGAAAATTGGGAATTTCCTTGCAATCTATTTTTAACGGTAAAATCGAGTAGTAAACTTCACTTTAGTCGGTTTTGTTCATGTAAGTTGATTTGTTTCAATTTTTGTCAAATTTAGCATATTTTGATCATTTTCAATTGAGTAAATTTACTCACTTTACAAATTCAAAGGCACAAAACGAACTACATAGAATGAGGTCAATTTTGACCCTTTTTTTATTTGGTTCGATTTCGGGTAGAAAGGTCTTTAGTTTGGACAAATTTATTAATTACCCGACCAGATTTGTGATTGAATAAAATTACATTATTAAAAGCGGACATAGAGGAAAATTATGAAATTATATCTATAATTTTCTCTAAATGTAGATTAAAAGTTATTTAACTATCATTAAAGGATAGGGAGGGGGTAAGAGTATAATTTTGATAGTATAGGGGTGTGATTGATAATGCATCAAACCTCAAGGGAGGTCAATGATAATTTCCCTTACTTTTATTACAATAAAAGAAGTACTTTAAGCGAGTAAGAAAGTGGGAATAAAGTGGGAATGCATGGTTGTGGTTGAGTAAGAAAAATATAAATGAATGGTAGCCACAAAAAACTTTCCAAAAAGAAAAATGAGAACTATTTTGTGGGACGGAGGGATTATTATTTATAATTTTGCTTCTAAAAACATAACTTGTGATAATTATATGATCTATTTCTTTTGTCAATATACTATAGTCATCAATAAATAATACGGGGTATTAAAATTCATAAAAATAGAAAAAGTAAAAATAATGTGAAATTTCAAAATATGAGTATCATGTTTTTATTCTCAAATAATACTCCGTAGTAATTAATGTCATGTTTGGGAAATACTTTCAATTATTGTAGTAATATTGTCATTTTAAACCCTGATATAATGTAATAATATGATAGAAGAATGTTGATATGACAGTAAATTGCTTTTACTTAGGGGGGGAACATAACAATCATGTTTAGAGATTTTACATTTGTAAATTTTCTCTAAGTTCATGATTTTTCGGAGGTTTAACTTAAAAAGTGTGAATTTTTTATTTTACAGCGTTACATTGCACTTTTCAGTTCAAATAATGCATTGGTGCACTTTTGCATGTTTGTAAAAAGTTCAACTTACTAAAATATCACGATGACGACCCCCCTAGTGCCCTACCCCCAAGATGTTGCTCTTACCAATGTTTAAAGTGCAGCGGCTCTTCACACAAAGTGCATCATAGATTATTATAAATGCATTTCACACTTTCGCACGTTAAGATTTTTATTTAATCCAAACTCTATGTAAATGTGTGTGTTTATATGTACGATTTTGAACATAACTATAATTAGTCGAATAACTGTAATTGGTCGGTTCATATAACTGTAATTAGTCATGTCATGTAATTGTAATCGGATGGACAGTGTAACTGTAACTGATGAGGGTATAAAAGTCATGTAGGTCTCTTTTTTGGTAATATTTATAAGTAGTTCTATTTTTGTCCATGAGTTTCTAATTAGTAATATTGATGACAAAACCCCTTATTATAAATGCGTTTCATACTTTAGCAAGTTAATTTTTATTTATTTAATCTTAACTCTGTGTGTGCGCGCTTCTATGAACGTAAATACATTCCTAATATATACGGAGTGTTATACTCTCTAGTCTCTTCATCCCACAAAATGGCACTCCCTCCGTATCACATATATCTTCCCACTTCCAAAGTGAATGAGATTAAGAATAGTGAAAGGAGATATAAATTATTGAGGGTATGATGGGAAGATAGTGAAATAATGTGATGGAATGAAGAATAAATCCAAAAAAAGTAGGTGTAATAGTGTATTACTTCAAATTTTTTAAATTATTGAGGATATGATGAGAATATTTAGAAATGAGAAGATATAAATGTTACATCCAAAAAAGAAAAGTGAGAAGATATGAATGTTACGAAGAGAGTAATAAATTTGTTGTTAAAGTTATTTCTCTATGCTCTGTACAAATTTCAACTACATATTTTTTACTTTATTATTTCACGTGTAAGTCAAATTTGACCAAATTTTATGAATCATTATGTGTGTGTATGTGGGTGAGTGCGTACACACATATCCTCCATCCCATAATTCTCATCCAAGTTTCCTTTACAGATTGTCCGAGTGAGTGAGTACATAGCCTGAATTGTATGGGGGCATCCATTTCAGCCAGTGTAACTAAATTTTCCTC